TAACGTATAATGTGCATGCCAACGTTTTTGCAGTTTGCTTTTTCAGATTCCATTTTTTTTCTTTGAAATTTTGACTTTTGTAATATACTTTTTAAGATTTAATTAAAAAAAATTTTTGGGAAATTGCTTTCTTTTTAATTCCTCTGTAACAGATTTCCTCCTTTTGTCAAACAAATAGAAACGAGTCTGTTGCACAGATCACCCATAGTAAAATATCTAAATCTGGATTTGAAAAGAATAAAATTACAAAAACTTAATCTCCTAAAAAAGAAATCCAGTCAAAGCAGATTCAGGATAAAACTTTGAAAAGATGAAAAAAATAGGATTTTGAAAATGAAATCTGAAAAAATATCACATTGTAAAGACATATTTTTTAATAATACCATAAATGACTCTAACAACCCTTCTTTTTACCATTTTTGAAACATTTTCTTTCAATTTCCACCTTTTAAAGTATGTTCTTTGTTTTCAATAATATTGGAACAGATTTCTCCCCATACAGGAGGCCTTGATGACATTGAGCTGTTTTTATGATCACAGCTGCCGGCTGTTGAAGGATACGAATACCAGAAGCTTTCTGAAAAACACTTTTCATCTCCTTGTATGTTTCTGATCCAAAACTTGGTTTAAACACCTAAACAAGAAAACTGTTTGACATTAAAGCTAAAACACACTTTTCCATTCATATTTCTTTTGGAATGTATATCTAAAAAAGGAAAGGTGGTTTACCCATTTCCTGGAAAACCAACATTCCTGTACTTTTTTTAACTTCTCGGAGCACAGCCAGCCTGTGCCAGCATGCTTGGACTCTTAAACCTGGCAGCTGAAAAATCTCCAGGAGTTCATTTGTAGCCTTGTGTCGGTTTTCCTCCCTTGTTGCACAGACTGGTTAAAGCCACAGGAATCCTGCTCTCCAACACAGAACAAACACACTTTCAAATATACTAAAATGTACGGAGCCCCTCTGATGACATGGACAAAAAAAAATGTTTAATTGTGGCCACGAAGTAGTATTTCGCGGCCACGCAATAAGTATAACGTGCGCACGAAATACTTATTAATAA